AATGCGTCTGCCGGTCAGTTAATAGTCAGCTGCTGAGCTTGACTCCATATGGAAGCGGACCACATCACAGAGTTCGAGTGCGGTTATGGGCCAGAGTAATTCTCTTGATACATAAATATGCTTCAGCTTCGTTTAATTTTTGCGGCAATTGAACTTTTGCAATTACATGCACTGCCCACATGCATGGCAGATATAAAAGATGTCAACTTAATGCTGGCCACGTTGATGGAAATGGCTAGTTTTTGAGCGACTGACTGTCTGACTGTCTGAAATCTGTGGGAAATGGGTCAGCTGCATGGAATGGAAACCGACATGTGGCACGGCTGACTTGCCAGCTGCATGACTTTGCCCCTGCCCTACTTAGCGTCCCTCTTGGCCTGCTGTTTGATGGCACTTTAGTCCAAGTCGTTTTCCTTTTTAAACCTCTCCTCAACGCGCCATTTTTGATCAAGTGCATTTCAGCAACAGAGCTAACGAAGTAGAAACTTAAGCTGCCGACGGTTTTGACTGGGCAGTTAGTTCTAGTGCCACAGGCAACAGCTGAAGATTTTCATGCCACTCAATTCCAGGGTATCACGGGTTATGCATTAGGATTGCGGTGTGCAACATATAAAATGAAAATAATTCTATAAGCTAAGGGCTTAAGACATGAAAAAAAACAATTGTATTTTAAAGATACATTTGAAGTTTCTAAGAGAGTACTAAAAATATGAATTACTCTCAGAGAGATATTTATTTCCGTTAACAAACTCTGTGTTGTATTCTCTGTATCTCTGTATATAAGTAAATCCTAGGAAGCTAAAATTGATCCACTGTCTCGACCCAAGGGCCTGTATTTTGCGAAGAGCTGAATCACGTCTTACTAGAATTTCATCAAAGAGTGTTAAAAATGAGTTTGAAGACGATCAGATGGCAAAAAGAGTTGTGGAAACGGTGCGAATGTGTAAATAAATAAGCCCGACATTGAGCCAGCTTCATAATAAAATGATTGCTCCTGAAATCAATTAGTGTGAAGATCTTGATATAAGGTAAATTTGGTAAAAGTTTCAACTTCCTGGATCATAAGGCTTTAAGCTTGTGCGTTGATCACCAAAGAGTCAGTCAGTCAAACAGGTCAAACAGATTTATGTATGGAGATATATAACATCGAAAATCGAGCCCATATTTATCTTTTGTTGTTTCTTTGTGCAAGGTGAAAGCTTTTCCAGCCGTATGTATTTTTTAAGCTTCGATGCTATACATCTGAGATTTATTCCTTTCGATTTATGAATTACTCGGGCAATTGAAACACCTACGGTCAACATTTTAAGTCCCAAGGTCTCGTTCTCCATTTCGCCCTATCTCTCTTTCTTGCTCCCCGGAGATCGACGCATTCATACTGAACATACAGACAGACGTAGATGGCTAGATCGACTCAGAGGTAGATGCTAATAAAGATTATACAATTTTCATACAAGGAAGCCGTCCCCTATCCCAAATAACTAGAGGTTGTGAACCAGATTAATTCAGCACACATAGCATAAGTTGTACATGGAAATGTAGAAGTCACACAATAGACCAGGAAAATCGAAATGAACACAACGTAAGTAGCACCCACTTTCTATAAAAATCAGCAATCGATCTCTTTCAGCTTGGAAATCTTTTGTGGACGACCTACAGCAAACTTACATGGCTCGAGATCATAAGAAGCGAAAGGAGAGCGCTTTGAAGTACTCACTGAAAGAAACCCATTCCCATATCGAATACGTATATATGCTGTCTACTATTTGCTTATGTACCCAAAGACACATTCAGAGAGTATGTATGCTTCGTCTATGCAAAGGCAGGCAGTCATGCCCGGTAACTTACATTCCTTTTTTTGCTAACACAAGAATACAAGTGTACTGAAGGCGAAACACAAGTTGAGCGCACATCCAGGGATAAGAGGAAATCTCTACCAGGTTTCTGTGCTGACGGGCAACATATTCGTTGCGTACAATCAAAATCGGGCTAAGCGTATAAGCCGACAAAACTATGCGCACTAATTAATGAAAACAATTAGTAAATTAAGTTTGCTATTTCCGCTCGATGACGACCAGAATAATAATAGTTATAATAATAATAACAAGCGTAACAGACAATTGCCCAAACATAAGCGGCCAAATATCATAAACATAAAAATGCAAACGTTGGCAATAAACGGGCATAGAAATGCCCAAAATTTATGCTAATTGGACTTGTTTACCAGTGCGTGTGGTTTAACATGCATAAATCTAAATCCACACAGCCATCTCTCTCTCTCTCTATCTGCCTCACTCTATTCGTATATATATAAATATTGCCAGCATTTAGCTGACGTCTTCAATTTTGTTTATTTGAGTCTGCAACACCCGCGGCAGGTTGTCTGAGCTCAGGCCAGGAGAAGCTCAAGCTTAATATCCTACTCTCTGCTTGCTCTGATTTCTTGTGTCAACCCGACAACAACAACATCTATGTAAGTTCAATAATGTGGAGCATGCTCGAATAGCAGCTACCACGTAAATAGGCTTTAAGGCTGCAAAGTAATTTCTACTGGAAATTCATAGAAAACCAGAATAATTGATTCAAATGTAAATAAATTGAAATAAATTATGAAAAAATTATGCATTTAAATTAGTAATTTAATTGAGCTTTAGTAAGCAAAAAGTATCGATATGTTTAATTTATGTACAAAAGCATGTTATAGAGTTTAAATTAGCTCGTGTCCACTTCAACAGAATATGTCATCGTACCCTTTTGTGGAATTTAGAGTGCAGGATACTTAAAACAAATCCAGCAGACGAATGAGCAAATATTTTATATTTGTTTCGAAACCAAAGCCAAGCGGCAGCCAACCCAAAAACAAAAGCATAGCAAAATATTTGATTTGGCATTGTGCGGGCAAATGTTGCAAGGGATGGGAGCCACATTCACATTCACATTCACATTCTGTACAACTGATGCGCCTCGGCGCCGGAATTCCTTGCAGGATTTGCTCTGAGCGCCGTCTGGTGCTTGGCCTATACCAAAATTGTATTTGCATGTCAATTGCGTTTGTTTATCTCGCGTTATTATTTTTGACATTGCCACAAGGCATAAGCAACACGGACAGACAACAACGTGAGTGCCTGAAGGGGACCAAAAATGCGGCTGATTCGATGGCTCTGATATAATGGAAATATTTTGTCCAGCTATGGAGCGCAGTTGAAAATCATTTTAATCATCAAGTCTGTTCGCAGCAGAACGCCCTCTGAATAATATTATATCTGAATTACAATATATCTTTACTTCTCAAATCACGATATTGAAGTCACATACTATTATTTTTAAACCACCATAAAATACCATTGTAAATTGCTCACCACTAATCTATCGATAGTTATTGTTGAAAGTTCGAGAAGTAAATCACGCATTACAAGCAGTCTAAAGGCTCCTTTGATTTTTATTAAAATTTATAAAACATAAAAGGGGCCGAAGTGGGGTGCAAACTAGCATCTCCTCAAAACATTGGTGACCCCGACGTGATTTTTATTTCTTGCTTCTCGTCTTGCCGCAAATCTCACTTTCGTTGTTCATCGCTCTTTTGCTGCTGCAGCATAGGCACTAAACTCAAGTACAGACATATGTACATATGTATGTACATACATATTTCGCACACCGGCTCGAGTGCGCGCTTCTCTCTAACGATCTTATCGCGTTATTTAGCAGATCGGCTATTATAACCAAGCTGTTTGGTGCATATCAGTGCCAAGCACAACCCTTTGCTTAGAAAAGAAGCCGTCGAGCAGATACCTACACACTTACATACATACATATGAATGTGAATGCAAGTGCCGCTACAATTGATCTCGATACATACACATACACAAGCCGCTGCACACATAAAACGGTAATCGCATTCTCGCATTGCTCACTCTGTGACATTCGCAGTGGTCAAGGGCAAAGCTCTTCTCCATAAGTGGACTTTGGTGACAGGCCGGAGTACAGTGAGCACTCAACAAAACGTACCAACCGAACATAACCTCGCCAACAACAGAATGGAAAATTCGACAAGTGAAAAAGACTTTTGCAAAGCCAAATGCGCTTCTGTTCAACGCCAACTATTAGCAATGAACGAATTCTTCAGCGCTGGTGAGATGATCAGCTTTGACGAGGCCGATCTGATGGTGCGTATAGAATCTGCGGAGAGCTTGAAGGCCGAGTTTGATATCAGCCAGTCAAGGCTAGAAAAATTAGATTTGCTCGAGCTTTCAACGGACGCACGCTCAGACTTCGAGAAGGTTTACTGGATGATCAAATCCACTCTCGCTCGTCAAATGGACGTAGTCACTAAGGGACGTATGACTGACGCCAATTCAACAACTATCCCACGCTTTGCTGAAAGTACGCACACATTTGCTCACTTGTTCAACCGTAAGTCTCGCCTACCGGAATTGCAGCTGCCCAGGTTCAGCGGCTCCTACGAGGATTGGCCGGATTTTTACGCCATGTACAAGACTGTCATTGGCAGCAATGAGGACCTGAGTAAGATTGAGAAATTACAACATTTACGTGCGTGCTTGGATGGTGCTGCTCTCAACACAATCAAATCGTTAGAGCCTGTCGACGTGAATTACGACAAGGCGTTGGAGTTACTCATAAAGCGTTTTGATAATAAGTTGCTACATTTTCAGGGCCACGTGCGGGCTATAGTCGGCCTGCCAGGCGTTGAAAAGGGATCAGCAGAGGCGTTGCGTGAGTTGAGTGACAAAATTAACTCTCATCTTCGGGCGCTTAGCACCATGTCAACAACTGAGGAGCTGGCTGACGGATTACTCATACACACAATATCGCACAAGCTCGATCACCACAGCCAGGAAAAGTGGCAGGAAGCGCTTGCAACGGATAAGCTACCCAGGTGGACGGATATGTCGGCGTTCTTAGAGAAGAGATGCCGCATGATGGAAAACTTGAAAGGCGCTACGGCACCTACGCCTAGCCACCAGGTTACCAGAAATGTACAAAAATTGAATCGTAACACATTCATTGCATCCTCATCTAACAATTACCAGCAAAATTGTAATTTTTGCGACTCAAAAGAGCATTTTCTTGTTAAATGCCCGTTGTTTTTGAATCTGTCCCCAAGTTTGCGCCACAAGGAGGCCAAGCGATTGCATCTTTGCCTAAACTGCTTGCGCAAAGGCCATGGCTTGCAGCAATGTCGCTCAGGTCACTGCAGGCATTGTCAACAAAAACATCATTCGTTGCTGCACATGAGCCCCATCACAACTCAATCATCTGCCCTGTGTACACCAAGCTTGCAGGCTGCAGCCACGATCCAGCCTCACGCATCGTCTTCAAGTAATCCACCATCTTCAACTCTCGTCAGCACTGCTCTTGAATTCGCACCTGAAGCCACGAATGCCCAGCCTGTAGACTATGTGGTGCTTCCAACCGCCATCTTATATGCCAAGAGCCACTCAGGTGTATTCATACCCTGTCGTGCATTACTGGATTCTGGATCTCAACTCAACTTTATCACTGCTCGTCTAGTAAAGCAACTCCAACTCAAAACTCATCATGCTGCCGTATCAATATCTGGTATAGGCGAATCAACCCTATCTTCTAACATGTCCACTGACATATCAGCGCAGTCACGTGATAGGAGCTTCAGCACATCATTTTCAGCAGTCGTTACTCGCACTATAACGGATTATCAGCCCCACTTTGGGTTAGACATCTCTGGGTGGAATATCCCCAAAAACATCTCGCTCGCGGATCCAACGTTTTTCAAATCTCAAAGAATAGATTTATTACTTGGTGCCGGACTATTTTTCGATCTCATTTGCATCGGCCAAATTCGAATGGCGGATAACCTACCAACGCTCCAAAAGACCAAGCTCGGATGGATTGCGTCTGGCGGACTCTCTCGCGTACACAACAAACACACATCCCTTTCAGCCCTTTACAAGGAACCTAATCCATGGGAGGATCCACTGTCGGATATTGTAAAACGATTCTGGGAAGTCGACAATTGCTGCGGTACAACCCCTGCGCTCTCTGATGAAGACGCACTATGTGAGCAGTTATTTCTCCAAGGCTACACGCGACTAAAGTCAGGGCAGTATTCAGTTAGGCTTCCAGCAAAGCTCAGCTTCGACACGCTAGGAGACTCATATCAACGTGCTCTACGACGTTTCAAGTCGCTCGAAAACAAATTGGACAAAAATCACCAGCTGAAGGAGAGCTACTCTGCATTCATGCGCGAATACATCGACTTGGGCCACATGTCTTTGGCTTCCAAGCAGCAGCTTGTCCCACAATTCTATTTACACCACCACTGCGTAGAAAAGCCAGATAGCTCAACCACCAAATTGCGCGTCGTTTTTGATGGATCAGCCAAATCCACATCAGGCGCATCTCTGAATGATCTTTTGCATACAGGCCCAACAATTCAACCCAAATTATTCAACATTCTAATTCAGTTTCGTTTTTTAAAGGTTGCCATGTGCGGTGACATCTGTAAGATGTACCGCTGTGTCCGAATAACGCATCCAGATCAATTTCTGCAATGCATCTTATGGCGTGATCACCAAAATGAAAGCATAAGGACGTACACCCTGGATACAGTAACTTATGGAACTAAACCCGCTGCATTTCTAGCAATTCGAGCGATGCAGCAGCTGGCCCACGACGAAGAGCCTACCTTTCCACTAGCTGCAAAGATAGTTTGTCGCGACTTCTACGTAGACGATTTAATTTCTGGAGGGGACTCTATAGAAGAAGCCATTCAGATCCGACAGCAAGTAAAACTGCTACTGGCTAAAGGTCACTTTCCAATCAGAAAGTGGTGCTCAAACGAGCCTGATGCATTAAAAGGAGAAAGCGAATCCAATTGTGAGAAGCTAATGGAGTTCAAGGATGGCACCAACATTGCAAAGACGCTTGGTTTAGCTTGGAGCCCTAGCTCGGATAGCCTGCTTTTCAACTTTGCGGAGATCGTACCCGAAGGACCAGTCACAAAGCGGAGCATATTATCAATGATAGCGAGATTTTACGATCCGCTCGGATTGATCGCTCCCATCGTTACCAGGTTAAAGGTATTTCTCCAAGCACTGTGGAAGGAAAGGGTCAATTGGGACGAATGCCTGTCGCAGTCGCTACACTTCGAATGGATCAAACTCATATCGCAACTCTCATTTGTCAGCAGCTTGAAATTCTCCCGTTTTGTATTGATGCCGCTAGCTACGTATGAGCTGCATGGATTTTGCGACGCCAGCACAGCCGCTTATGGTGCTTGCGTATTTGTCAGATCCGAAATGCAAGGGGTATTTTCATCACATTTGCTATGCTCTAAATCAAGGGTCGCCCCATTAAAGACGCTGACAATCCCAAAGCTTGAGCTGGCAGCTGCACTTTTATTATCAGAGCTCATAGGGAACATTGCCAAGTGCATTCAGTTCGAATGCAGATATCATTGCTGGACCGACTCAACAGTAGCGCTTGCATGGATTCGTGAATCACCTTCAAAGTTTAACGTCTTTGTATCCAACAGGGTATCACAAATACAGGAGCGAACCAAGGGCATGACCTGGCATCATGTACCCTCTCAGCTGAACCCTGCGGACATTTTATCACGTGGATGCACACCTTTGGAACTTTTAGACTCACAGCTATGGCATAATGGACCCCCATTTATACAGGCCGCTAGCTCGACTTGGCCTCAAAACGTCGCCTACCCCTTTGAGCTTCCAGAACGACGCCAGAAAGTGCTGGTAGTATCAACGAAGACGGACCTATCGGCATCTTGTAAATTCAACAACACATTTGCCAAGTTACAGCGCACTTTCGCATACGTGTATCGATTTATTGCGCTAAAAAGATCTGATTCGACGAGTTCAAAAGGTCCACTCACTCCAGATGATATCAAGTGCGGAACGCATTTACTTATAAAAAACATTCAACTTACGCACTTCGCCGAAGAGTACAAAGCACTCAGCTTAAAAAGGCCGCTTCCAACAAGAAGCAAACTTCGTTCATTGTGCCCACTGTTGGACGCTGAGGGACTCTTGCGCATCGGCGGGCGCCTTCAGAACTCAAACTTGGAATATGAAGCAAAGCATCCGTTATTGTTGCCTAAACGCCACCCAGTCACCGCAGCTATGATCACATATTATCATTTGGAATTTCTTCATGCTGGTCCGCAATTCCTTCTAGCAACACTCCGCCAGCGATACTGGCCCATCGGAGGTCTCAAGGCTGTCTCAAATATCATCAACAGGTGCGTGCGCTGCTTTCGAATGCGACCTAAACTTCTGGAGCAAGTCATGGCCCCGCTACCAGCTGAGCGTGTGCAGCCAAGTCCGACGTTTCACGTAACTGGCATCGACTTTTGCGGTCCTTTCTACGTCAAATCAGAGGTCAGGAATCGCTCACCAACGAAATGCTACATCTCAATTTTTATATGCTTTGCAACGAAAGCAACGCATTTAGAGTTGGTAGAGGACCTGTCCACGTCATCGTTTATCGCTGCCTTGAAGAGATTCATCAGCCTTCGAGGGAAACCGCATACAATATGGACAGACAACGCCACAAATTTCGTGGGTGCTCGAAATGAGCTGAAGGAACTGCGCGACCTGTTTATAAGCGATCCCCAGCGCAATGAGATTGTTCGCAACTGCCTAGCTCTGGGAATCAACTGGAAATTCATTCCGCCCCGTTCGCCACATTTTGGAGGATTGTGGGAGGCCGCTGTCAAGTCAGCAAAATATCATTTTTACCGCGTCGTTGGAAATTCTCTTCTCTCATTCCACGAATTCCGAACTCTCATCTGTCAAATATCCGCAATGCTTAACTCAAGACCGCTTTGCTCTATTACAGAAAACCCGAATGACTTGGAGATACTCACGCCTGGGCACTTCATCTGGGGCAAAGCCAATGCCACTATCGACGAGCCAGACATAACTCACCTAAGCATAGGTCGCCTCAGCCGTTGGCAGCGAATATGTCACATGCAGCAATCATTTTGGAAGAAATGGAGTACATCGTATTTGTCGTTGCTCCAAGAGCGCGGGAAATGGCGATCGTCCAAGCAAAATCTTCAGGCCGGCAGCATCGTGCTGCTCAAGGAGGACAATGCACCACCACTCAGGTGGCCGCTTGGTCGAGTCGGCAGCGTCATCACGGGTGACGACGGCATTGTGAGAGTAGCAGTCATTCGTACACAAAATGGTCTGGTCAAGAGAGCCATTGCCAAAATCGCCGTTCTGCCAATCGAGACCACATCGGTTGAAAGCTTGTATCTTCCAACGGGGGGAGCATGTTCGCAGCAGAACGCCCTCTGAATAATATTATATCTGAATTACAATATATCTTTACTTCTCAAATCACGATATTGAAGTCACATACTATTATTTTTAAACCACCATAAAATACCATTGTAAATTGCTCACCACTAATCTATCGATAGTTATTGTTGAAAGTTCGAGAAGTAAATCACGCATTACAAGCAGTCTAAAGGCTCCTTTGATTTTTATTAAAATTTATAAAACATAAAAGGGGCCGAAGTGGGGTGCAAACTAGCATCTCCTCAAAACAAGCTCATTTCGGTAAGGGGTAAGAGCTGAAAATTCCCTAAGATCAAATTAACAGAATTTATAGCTAAGAAAATTAAAGGAAGCTATTCTGGGTCTATATTACTAAAATATTAGGGATATTAAAAAAAAAATATTAGTGATATTATCAATTAATTATTGATATTATTAAAATATTAGTGATATTATAAAAATATTAGTGATAGTAAACTATTAGTGATATTTTGAAAACATTAGTGATATTATTAAAATATTAGTGATATTATAAAAATATTAGTGAAATTATTTATTAATTATTGGTATTATTAAAATATTAGTGATATTATTAAAATATTAGTGATATTATAAAAATATTAGTGATATTATTAAAATATTAGTAATATTATTTATTAATTATTGGTATTATTAAAATATTAGAGATATTATAAAAATATTAAGGTTATTATTAAAATATTAGTGATATTATTAAAATATTAGTGATACTATTAATTAATTATTGATATTATTAAAATATTAGTGATATTATAAAAATATTAGTGATATTATTTAAATATTAGTGATATTATTAAAATATGCGTGATATTATTTAAATATTAGTGATATTATAATATCAAAATACTTTAAATGAGTAAAATGCGCTCGAGACGACTCGATTAAATATGCATCATATTATTGATTACCAGGCAAAAGTTGTTTGATTTTGGGATCAACAATTAGCTGACTTGACGCCACTTGTCCGAATTTTCAATAAGAGTTTAGTTCATTACAAGCTCGTTTAACGTCAGGGAGCTATAAACTTTATCGACTTCGGGCTGCAATTAAAAACCATTTTACAACACTATAAAACCCAACTATTAACGACAAACTGTAAAAGTTGAACAAAGAACATCTGAGTTGATTGACAAAAATGTTTACCACAGACTTTTCATAGATTTCCATAAATTTTAATGTTTTCTATGTAGAAAGCGGGCAACAAAAAGGCAGCAATTAATAGGATTCTTTTGTGCTGACGTCCTGTTAACGATTGGAAAACCCAATCTCGAGTAGCAGTTACCGCCAAATGCCTGCTGACTAACCGCAAAACAATCAAAAAGTGATTTTAATTGAAAAACAGTAAAAATCAATTGCAAGAAGAAAACCATTTGAGTGTGCGGTAAGTGCCAGAAAGCAATTAATATGCAAACAAAAGTCGCAAAAGCTATTATATATATTTTAAATATATATAAAATATATATATATATATATATATATATATGTTCTACTCATGAGGCAGGTGATGTGAATTCCATTAGCCGGAGTTCAAGGTTCCGCTTTTGGCTGCCAGCACGTACAGTGCATAGATTTTTATATGCCTCATGCCTCAGCGTCCTGCTGGAGCTTAGCATTCTAATACGACTCCAACCATAAGGTAGGTCATAAATTGTCGGCCAAATCCACTGAAATTCGTACACCTGTTCTCGCAGCTAAGTATTATTGATAAGCATTAGAATCGGGAGCGTGTCCAACACGCGCACTCAATAGAGCATTACGTGAATTACATACGCATCGGGTCGTATACTTATTTAGATGACTATTAAGCGCCTGGCTCCACACATACTAATAGTACTTATATTCTGCGGGAGTGGGGAGCATGTCCATAACAGCAGTTATAAACTCGTTAGCACACAGATACAATCATGCTCGGAAGAGCTTTAAGCTGCGTTTTACAACATTTCGCCTTCGCCCAGCAGTTAACCCCAACAGATGCAACTTCATGAATGGTTCATGCACCCACTTGGCCGGCTGTTGGGTCATTTGAGGGCTGAAAGGGTTAAGCCAAGGCAGCAGAGGAAGACGTTAAGAAGAGAGAGCAACGGAATTACGACAGAAAATACAAGCTACTTATTTAACTGTGTAGCAACAGTTTGTATTCACATAAATACACATTGGGTACTTTAACAATTTGTGCTTTAAATATGCATTTACAATTTACGGCTTTCACAGCTTTTTGTAAAGTTTCTTTCTATAAATTCTAAATGTGATGTTCGGAATTATCTGATTGATTTGCGGGCATGGTTCATACCCTTCTGGAGAGCATATTAGTTATGTCACGCAAAGCAAACGTCTCCGACCCCGTAGAGTATTAAAAACTTTTAGATATTTACGTTTAAGCCGAATTTGTGTTTAAGTCCAAATATAATAGATATTGTTCTTATATATAAAGTTCACCTCGAAGCAACAAACTAAACAAATTTAAAATAATTTACCTGAAGAACAGGTGAAATTAAGGTTTCTTGGTATTAATTCCACTTCTTAGTAAGAGTATATTATTCAGTCGAATTGAAATTTCTCTACAAATTTGGTCTTATTCTTATCGTATGATATAATATATATATATAAATAAATATATATAAAGTTTTCCTCGAAACAAAAAGTAAAACAAATTTAAAATAATTTACCTGCACAACAGGTTAAATTAAGGTTTCTTGGTACTAATCCCACTTCTTAGTACGAGTATATTATTCAGTCGAATTGAAATTTCTGTGAACATTTTCTATTGTTCTTATCATATATTTAAAGTTTTCCTCGAAACAAATTTAAAATAATTTACCAGCACAACAGCTGACATTAAGATTTCTTGGTATTAATTCCACTTCTTAATATACTCTTAATATTCATTCGAATTGAAATTTCTCTGAGAATGCAATTTAAATTCAAAGCACAACGTATTCTGAATACTGCTGAATATATCCCATAATAGAAATGTACTCACATACGATGACAATTATAAATTGCTGTGTGCAATGAACGGGGTTCAATAGCTTTGTAATATTATTTAAGCATCGGGAGGAGCCGAGCGAATGGTAACATTGTTGTCATGTAAACGAGATGTTGTCTAAAAAACTGTTGACCCCGTTGGTAAATTGGCTGACTCTCTTGGCTTTCGACAATATCAATTTGCAAGACAATGCAGCATGGTCCCTGGGACCAATCCGTACACAGGACTCTCGTTAGAAGCGGCATCAATGCATTTGATTGCACAATCCTTCATTGCCAGGACCTTTGGCCAACTGGCCGGCTCCTTGTACACTTGTGTGCATGCTCCTGCCATTTCTTCAACAATATATGTATGCAGTTTATCTGCTGACCACAGTTTTTGTCCCCCGTCCCGTTTAACAGTCGCCGTTGGCCGTCGCTCGAGGACTCCTTTGTGAGTCGCTGGCCCACTTTTTATTGGCCTTTGTGGCATTTGTGTCATAAACCGCTTTGGCATTTGGCCTCCAAAGTCCACTTGAATTTAACTGAATTTCCATAATATTCTTTGCTCCTTCTTTGCCGTATTGACTCACGTTTTTTTCCAGCATGTTCTCGCAACTTTGTTTTATTGACTTTGCGGCGACAAATTCGAAATTTAAATTGCCATCAAAATGCGCACGATATGATAAATTGCCAAACGAACTCGTAAAAAAAAAAAAAACGCTTGCCATTGTATCAATTTGTCTGGCTATTTGTGTGGTTTCCAATTTTGTACATTTAATCATTATGCTCCACTTTTGGCAATCATTCTTTCGGACATGTGACATTATGCAGTTTGATTTAAATTCGTTCGCATTCATTTAGTTTGGCTTTATTCAGAAATTTAATCAAATATTTAAATTAGTAGCTCACGTTTACCTGCTTTTTCTCCCTCCGAGTAGTTTTGCCCTTAAACCACAAATTGTAATTAAACTTTCGAAATCGTTTGTGACGCGAACAAAAGACAACGATTTGTGTAACATGCGTATTTTTAATCAATAACTTTTCGGTGTTTAGTTTAATTTTTGTTAATAATCAAACAAAATCTTGCCTGCGGTCCTCGTGGCACTTCAACTATTATGTTGACGAATTTGCGGTCTTGCGTTAGTCAGAACAAGAGACGGGCGAGGGAAATAAATTCCACGGGCCACAAAAGCATAGTTTTTTTTCTACCCAGCTCGTCGACCCCTCGGGCTCTAAATTAGATGCATTTTAATTTATTTTTAAACGACAAATAACTAACCAAAAACTTTATACCGTGCGGTTAGTAAATACAAAATAACTAAAATGTACATCGATAGGTATTTATTTAAAGGTAGGTTGGAAGGTCTGTTAAAGCAATCCAAGTGAGCGTACAACTATTTTGTGATTATACAAGTTATATCTTTAATCTAGCACCTATAATCTACCAGAAATTATCTCCTTTTTTTTGTTTTTTTGTTATGATATCTATCAGTGCCTTCTGAGGTTGTGAGGTGAAGGTTGTGTCTATTAGGGTATTACAATTGAAGGGTTATTTACAATGATGGGCTATTTACTATTAAGGGTATAGCCATAAAAATAATAGGATTAAAATATTTCTGCTTTCTGCTGCTTTCTAGGTCCCAGGGGTGTAGCCTTTCGAGGCGCTCCTCTGTAATGGGGTCAGCCTGGACCCTGGCGACCGCGCTCGGCCAGCCGCAGCAGCTTGTCGCAACTGACGAAATTGAAAATTTGATCTACGACCTTTGTGA